CGATATTTTTCCAGAGAAAACGAATAGAGCCTGAACCTCAATTCGCATACTTGAATGCATACCTAATGTACTCAGAAGACTATTTAGCTGCATCAGGCATCAGTCACAGAGATGGTTTAGTGGCAAGAAGCAAACTTCATATACGCATGGTCACGGGTTCGATCTCGGATCGATATGCGCCTTGACCCGCGAAGCCTTCCATCACTCCGAGATCGGTTACGGATAATTGGTGCCAGACTCGTCTGGGAGGGTAAAAGCGCTGGCTTGTACAACGGCCGGCCAACGCAAGCCATCATTGTAAAGGCCACACACGCATTCAATACGCCACTACGATTCTGAATGAAAGTCGATGCCTGGGCGCATCTCCCTGATGAGATTGCTCGATGCCTCGAGACTTTATTACCCTTTATCGGGGCATCAGACTTGCCTTCGTGTTCAGTGACCCGAATCCACTAGAATCAGGGCAGTGAGAAAAAGCATCTATCCAGTTAGTCTATCCAGTCTTAGTTACTCTACAGAAAATAGAATTATCTACTTGCGCTGTAGTACTTGAAGAGTACGGATTTTCAAGGAGATAACCACAGCAGGGCCAAATGAACCGAATCATGTCATGGGTAAGATTGTAAAAGAACGTGAAGTTATTCACAAACATCTACTCATGAAGGGCAGACTAGTCAATAAAAAGAAAAGTGAAAGAAAAGCGAAAAAGCGTGAACGAGTTCTCAAGGGCGCTCATAGGCTTAGTCTAAGCTATAGTTTTGTCTCAAAAGTGCATCCCATTTCTTACTTCGGTGTGCCCACGGGATTATCGTTGATATGATAGGGCTCGTATACTAACTTTCGGAAATAATTTGCCTTTCCACAGGCCCATCACCGATTTCGCTGTCGCATAACGAAAAGAAAACTGAGACTTTCACGAAGATTGCCCAAGCACCACTCTCTTAATTTTGCTTTACGGTTTGTTTTTTTCTTACAGAAAAAGTAGTCAAGCATAATTATGAGAGAGATAGTAAGGTCACAGATCGTGCGTTGCGTAGGTTACACATCATAAAACACTGTCGGGAGATAGCGGCACCATTGTTATCGAAACCTGATTGGGTAGCATTCAATGTCGCTGCCTGGAGGGAAGGCAACGTCACTCAATAAATATTCTCATAATTTCTTAGGATGGAGAAAGGCTATCCTGCGAAAGCAATCTCGGGAAACTTTGCCCAGTGCCTCCCCAGCTCCATCTCCCATTTGATTTTGATTTTGTGGGGAATCAGATATAGCTCACTGTGCCATATCTCCAAGCTTTTCTAATCCTGCTCTTATTTTGCTATTATGAGAGTCAGTAAATAAATTAGCATAAAATCGGTAAATCCCGCAAAGCAGCGGCGGGACTATGAAGTATGAAGGCATGCCAAAGCCTATGAGGCAACGACACCACCCTTTCAGTCTTGATCACTACGGACTTCTGGCATTTCCAAACTTTCGGCCATGTCATCAGACGGAGATGGATTGGAAGTTGACCGATTATTCACCTTTCTAAGCGATATCCATTACATCAGTCCTCAACCCTACAATACCGCTATGACATCCTGAGGAAAAATCAATTCAACTAAGGATCTAAGAAACGCTTTCATTTTAAGTTAGTTTTTTGTCTGGATTCCCTCGAGCTTTCATCCGATCAGTCTTTTCAAAGGCCTAAACATCTGAGATAAGCAGAAACGACTCTTGAACACCTTAAAGCCTTGGCAAAGAACGCACTGAGGTATTTCAATTGAAGCAAAGTTTGCAAATGGGAACAACTCACTAGAAAACGAAGCAGTTTTAGCACTGAAAAACAGAAAGGTCGGAGGATGCGTATGAGAAAACTGAAAAAAGAATCAGAAAATGAAGTCGCAGTTAGAATTCGATTTCCCCTAACATGAATGTGTAGAACGCACTGCCCTCTTTTCCTGTTTTTGTTCTTCTAGTGGATTCACGTCATCTGATGGTTAATCCACCTACTTTGCTCGATCGACGGGGTTTCTAAAGCTGACTAGAAGATTAAGAGTTCTCTCGGAAGTGGTGCTTCGATACTGGACATCAGAAGAAAACTGCACGAAGTCAATTTGATAAGTGCATCAAGCAGTTCTCGGAAACTCGGAGGCGTGGGGCACTTCACTCCAAGCAAACAGAGCTTCAAGTCTGCCTGTGGAGTGCAAAGCGCAGGTGTTGTTTTCCAGTAGGTGATGGGTAGTTGTGGTCCTTTGAAAAAAGTGGAATATCGAAGGGAACGAGGAATGGTCGTTTATTCAATGCAATGAATTCATGGCATACAAATTTCATAAGGTTGCTGCTAATCAATGAAATAATTCATCATCAAATCATCGGTAGCTATTAATTTTTGAAGCCCAAATTGAACAGAAATTGGTTGAAAAATGAATGAGAGGCATAAAAGTGGAAAGCAAAATGTACTTATTTCATTCTATTCATTGATTCACTACCTCACGAACAACTTGGAAAAATGCAAGCACAGCTCTTATATGTAGATGCACATCAAGAAGTTTTTTCAACTGCTGACATCGAAAAATGATCTGTGAAGAGTAGAAAAGGAAGGGAAATATTTACTCTCTTACTGGTGGAATATGGTCTTCTACTGAGACTATTCGTATCAATTTTTGCTTCAAGGATTCCACCTTAGATCGTTTTTCCTGTTGGTTTCAGATTCGTCTGGAAAGATTAAGGTAATGATAATGCAAGACATTGTTATAGGTCGCAAGCACATTTAAAAAGCTTTAACGATTCTGACTGGGATTCGTGTGCTAGGGCGCATCCCAAAGGATGTATCAGAGTAAGAGACTTCAGTTTTAGACTCAATGCCTTTCGTTCCGTTTCAAATTCCGCCCTTGGATCCAGCTGTGCTAGGGGAACTTCTATGTCTGAGTTTGCGGAGAGCAGCTTCTCTAGATGCATTTAAATAAGATAAATCTGACGATGTTTACCAGAATCGTGGGACTTGACTACTGCCTCGCAATTATGGCATATCGAGAGTTCAAGAGAGGATTCTGAAAGAGAGCGGTCTGCGATTCTTGATTTGCAATTGGTTTTTCCTATGAAAAGATCTACTGATTGAGCTGGCCCATAGACAAGGAAACACTACTGAGGTTTTCATATGAACATCGGGCTCGAAGTTTTTTATCACTTCGTTTAAATATCGTCTCCTGCTCCGATTTTTTGCTTTGTCAGAAAGCAAATGGTCGAGGAACCGGCTGTTATCAACAGCTGACATCAACATTCCATCTAGCGGCTAGAATTTCGTTTCTCTATGGCGTTTCGCACCAATTCCAGAAAATCGTTATTGATTTTATATATATACCGATAGGAAATTGATTGATACAAATTGATTAAGTGCACAATGGAGATGCTACAAGTTGATTGACAGTGGGTCCATCAGTATATTAGCGAACAAAACGTTACAATCTAGGAGATGAGAGTCAACACCATAACATAATTGTTGGGTGCAATGTGGCATCCATTAAGATTGATGGATGGCATTCCCCTGATTTCTAGGGTGTGGTGCGTTAGGAACGAAATGGTCGCGTCGCGCGAAGGAAGGTAGCAGGATGCAGCAGTAGGTAAGAAATACAAGAACAAAAGTACTAATAGTAGAATTATGCATAAAATAATGATCGCATATCGATTGAGCTGTATGAAGAACGCTAGAGCTGTAATAACGNTAATAACGACAAATGAGTGGTCCGCGACACCGCGTGCGGCGAATCGATTACCCAAAATCGTTCCTAAAGCCCGTCTCCCTGGCATGGGCATTGCAAACTGCCGCTGCTGCTTCAAAGCACAATAACAAAACCAGTGATTACGTCGAAACAAAAGGTGATCTTGAATCTTTAGAAAGTTGTTAGTATTATCGAAAATACCACTCAATTGGGTACAAAAATAGAGAGGATATCCCTGTCTCTGGTATCACCCGTGCAGAAACGAAGAGGTCATGGAAAAAAAAGTGGATAGCGGGGGCCAGCTCTGGCAAACGCGAGTTTGTCTATCGTTTGCTTTCCGGGTATACTTTGACCTGGGAGTTCTGCTGCGCTGCCAACCTCTGTCAGTTTATTGAGCAAACAAAGCGGAAAAAGATCAATCGGAAAAGTTTTTGCACAAATAACAAGATTTCGCATTTACTACTACATCTATACAACTTGCTAAGTGTGTCTGCGGGACCGGAAATTGTCGGCAGGTGATACGAAGAGAAAACAATTGATAGGCATTGATAAGGAGGCTAGGAATGCAGAAGCTCCAGGCACCTCCTTAACAGTGTAACCTTGGTACTTTGGTAGGTATGTGAGGTGTAAAGGCATCGCAAACTGGAATGGTTCATGGCAAAGATTAATCGTCGACGGGGCGCCGATTTAACGAAGCGGTTCCACCATAAGCGAACCCATGCGGCATTGCAAGCGGTATGTTCACAGTAATGTTAAACATGCCCAGATTCCTGCGGCCCCGATTACAGTATCCTATTTATTATACCTCGTTCATCGAGAAAAGCAGATNTGTTAAACATGCCCAGATTCCTGCGGCCCCGATTACAGTATCCTATTTATTATACCTCGTTCATCGAGAAAAGCAGATTAGATCAGAGCAAGCCTAATGGCTGAGGCCGTTGCCCAGACGCAAACTTCGGTAAGCTGGTACTATAGCTACGTAGAAAATACAAACACAGACACCTACACTTCCTCCCTCCCTCAACACGGTACGCTGTCTTTCACCTCTGATTCCCATAGTAGAGGAAACAAAGTCTAACGAAAGGGCCACAAGCCTGCGTCGTTATAGACCTTTGCTTCCAAAGGCATACAAAGTAACCTTACGATTATTGAATTCTGACCAGAGATGAGCGACAAATACTCTGCCACAACAACTGCTTGGAAATTGCTTGGTAAAGCAAAAGAGCGTGAGGGAAAGCTGGAGATAAACAAGACAGAACATTCATATAATAATCAGAGCTGTGCTTTAGAAAACGCTCGAGAATCCGGTGGCATTGATGTGTTTGTGTAAGTATGCAGCTGCTACGAAACGGCAACAACATGCAGTTGTTATGTTGACAACATTTCATCATTTTTTTTTCAATTGGTGAACGATGTAATCTTATCAGAATAACGACATACTCAGGTTTGGGGCACCTCTGGTAAGTACCCACAAATTGGATGAGTAAGAACCACGAGCGTGCAAAGTAAATCGATGTTCCTCTATGGAAGTAAACCTCGGGAGCCTGCCTAGTTCATATGCATCGCACAAATCAGTGTGCCCATGCATAAAGTACTTTATCTAGCAGGCAGCAGCTGAATTCCAGCCAAGTCCCAGTTGGTAGAGGTGCCCTCCTATACATTCGCCGTACGTATGGGTTCACGCACCCTTCACTCTCGATAGCGCGAAAGAGACGGTATTCACAAAATTCCCATCGCTTCAACTCAGCACCAAACCTATGCTACCACTCCTTTTTATTTCATTTTTTCGCTTTTCTGTTTTCGTGTTCTTCTACCTTTTTTCAAGATCCCCAGCAGACCAATCCTGCTGTTGAGGGGCAAATTCGAAGTGATCTGGATAGAAATGTGAAGACAAAAAATAATCGGAAGTTTTATAGCTCTTCTCAAAAAAGCTCGAAAAGTCTCCTACAAAGAACATTTAAGAACATTCCAATAATATCAATTATATCCAATAATTTTTACATTTACATTTGCATAATTCTACTCAAGATAACCAATAAGCTCAGGAGAAGGAGCAACAGAAGGTGGACTAATCCTGACGAAATCTTCAATAAACGATGAACTTCTTCTTGGACAAGGACAATAAAATGCGTCAGTGCCAAGCAATCCCTCTCTTCCTGAGAAACCAACAATCCCATCTTGTCCTCGTGCTCCATCTTTACCTGGAGGACCAGGTGGACCTCGTTTTCCTGGCATGCCATTTGTGCCGTCCTCTCCGTTCCTACCAGGAGCACCCTCTAATCCTCGCAAACCTGGATTGCCAGGAGGTCCTGGAGCTGCCCTGCCTTTGATGCCATTGCTCCCTGCGTATCCAGGGACCCCTGGAGCCCCTGGCTGGCCAGGAGGGCCAGGATTTCCGCGTTTTCCGGGGGCGCCGTTTTCACCGTTTTTTCCAGGATGGCCTGGTGGTCCATACCATCCAACGGGTCCCATCGATCCCCTAGGACCGTCCTGGCCTGGAGGACCTGGTGGCCCTGCTGGACACGGTATGCAGTCTACAGGTCTCTTATATAAAAACATCATCTGATGTTGGCCTGGAACACCCGGTTGGCCATCTGCACCGTCAGAACCAGGTTCACCCTGCTTTCCCATAGGCCCTGGCTTGCCAGCCGGGCAACTAGCTCGATTTTCTTCACAGTTGCACATCACGCTGTCCGCTCGTTTACCTCTGCGACCGAGAGATGCATGCACTGTATTTTCCATTTCTGCAGGACTAACCAACATCTCATTCCACGCATCGTTGGCAATTTTCTGAACAGAAAGAGATTATTGTTCAACATTAGCTGTCAACTACAGGAAAATAAAGCATCCGATATTGAGATGGCCACCTGACCGATGGATTAGAGCCTCACCTTGAAGTCATGCAGCTCCTTCATCGATTGACTATAAAATGTGTTGATGTCTGAATAAATACTGAACGCAGTACATAAGCAGAGTACTACCATTGCACCAGTGATGATGCATACGAGAGTGACAAGGGCATTTGTGGCCATTTGGGAAAGCGATTGTTCACTGAAGAAGTTGCCTCCCAGCAACTTGTGACGGCATCGTTCACACCCGCTTTTAAAGAGTGGGGAAGTTCGAATCGAACTGCTTCGTGGTCCATTTGGGTAGTTAGGACATTTTCTATCAAAGAGCGAACATAGCGTGATCTATCATAAAACAGGTCCATTTATTAGAATCGATTTGCGGATTCTTTTGAAGTTAGCAAAGACGGAATAGAGGGATGTTCTAAAAAAGCCCGAAAACCAATCTCGCCTGCGAATGTCATCATAAACGGCCTCACGATCAAGCCGATGCTAATGTAGAAGCTAACAATTAGCCAGCCAATATGGTGTCAGACGAAGAGACTGGCAGCTGGCATAGGATGCTGCTGAATAATTCTGAATAACACTTCTAGCAAAATCCGAGCAAGAAGGGTCTACAGTGAACTTCGCCCCCAGAATCTCAAACACGTACATTTTCCCTCGCAAGGCCCCATTTTTCCGCTTTCACCGAGACATCTACTCCCTTCCAAGACACAGTAAAAAGCTCTAAATGAGGTAGATAGCCCTAAACGAACCGGTAGATCGAGTTGACTCCAATTTTCGAGAATACGAAACACAAAGGTCGTTCTCGTCAGAAAAATCTGTGGTAAGTCGATCAGTGGTTACGATTTCTTTTGAAAACTCGACCTGGCGAAATGGGCAACTACTGCCCGTCCCCCGTCACTAATGCTTCCTCTCGGGATAGGCAACCAACCTGATGACTTTCAGCTCAGTTCGAGGGATGTAAAATGTAGCTTCACATCCTATTTTCACATCAGAAGACTGAAAAAACTTCTCGAAAACGTAGTTGCACTCCCTGAATTCGTTTTTTTGATGAGAAGAAGGCAATGACGGAAGCGATTTCGTTTCTTGTCTGGGGAGGAAGCCGACAGAATCACTTTTCGATAGCAACATTATCGATTCCTCATGGGTTTCTAAAAACCGTTTGAAGATTGCTCGATATCTCATCTCGGTTAATCGAGAAGCTAATAACCTCTCGGAAAGCTTATNATGACTTTCAGCTCAGTTCGAGGGATGTAAAATGTAGCTTCACATCCTACTTTCACATCAGAAGACTGAAAAAACTTCTCGAAAACGTAGTTGCCCTCCCTGAATTCGTTTTTTTGATGAGAAGAAGGCAATGACGGAAGCGATTTCGTTTCTTGTCTGGGGAGGAAGCCGACAGAATCACTTTTCGATAGCAACATTATCGATTCCTCATGGGTTTCTAAGCTTATAGATGTTTATCTCGTATTCGAGAGTTCCGCTAAAGGAAATGTTCTAAGTGGATTCGCGCGTTTTCGTCACCGAAAAGACTTAATTAAAAAGATTAACTCTACCACTTACCATCTAACAACAAGGGAGATGCAGAGAGGGGATTGAAGGACTTACCTAGCTCATGTTTGTCCCATCAACTGCGACAAGGAACCACTCGTTCCTACCGCTAAGCTGGCTACTGCAGTAGGGAGTCCGTTGTCCCATGCATGGACGATTTTCTAACTCTTTTCGGACATGGTAAGGATGGTAAGAAAAGGATGGTTCCTCAGTGCAGTAGTAATGGCCGAAATTCTCGGTAACAATGGGGTTCACCACTTATTGTTAGCCAATAAAGAGCAATTTACGAGAGGAAAAGTACAATGAAGAGAAAGGATTCATTCTTTGGTGAGCTTTTCTTGGTTGACCAGAGCTTTGCTCATATGGAGCGCAACAGTGTCCGGGTTCGGTACTCGTCACATCCTGTAATACACCGGTGGTTCATAAAGGGGAATCTGGCCACCGTTCTTCCATGGCGCTACTTACAAACCTCTTTTTGAAGAGAATCAATCCATAAAACAGTAAGGGACAGGTGTCCAGATGTTAACACGAAATACGACTACCTCCGAATTGATCTATCAAGTTCGCATGAGGATTGAGCCTGACTAGTTGCTCCACACAGGAATTTCTATGCTTTGAGAAAACAAAGACATTTTTACAGCAAAAATGGAGCCAATAGAGGGCATTCTCTCTAATTAGCAGTCCACGCTATTGACCTTAGTGGACAGCATTTGTCTCGGCCCCTGTGAAGATTGAGGTCACATATGAGCCCCTATTCGACCCACTGACCTGGCAACGCCTTGAAACGGGGTCAGGTTAGTGCCTCTTGTTATGATGCTCGGTCAAGCACCATTATTTCTTTACGTTCCTTTACGATGGGTATTTCCATTCCTGGGCTTGAAGATCTTATGAAAAGCTTCCTATTGTGTTGAAGGTGGTGGCTAGGATATTCGATCTTAAACCCTTTCAATTTCCCCACTGATCCACAATTTCATTACGCAAGATTCCATTCCCGAACTTCCTCACTACCATCTACAATGCTAGCTATTCACCCCGAAGTTGACGATTAGTACCCCTGGAAAGTACAGGAGGCATTGTTTTCTGTATAGACTGTTCAATTTCCATTGAAGTAGTATTGGGACTTGGATTCTTCTTTGCTAGAGCACTACTCTATGACAACTGTAAAAGAATCACATGTATGCCCAACGATTATATTTCAACTCCTCTTGCTATTTTAGATTTATTATGGATGAGCCAGGATCCTCGGAGTCGTCACAATCCCAACCAGGTAAAACTGGAACCGAGCCTATTCGAAGTAGTCTGTGTCTTTGTAAAGTCATCCTTATATTAAGCACATTCGCCTTTTGGCTTTCCTGAGAAAGATGTAATCTTCTTCATCAACAGTTGCAGCCTTTCCGAAGAAGAAGCTCGGGACTTTATGCTATTTCTAAGTAAGCTTTAAGATTTAATATTTCCAATATTCAAGATATTCATAAAGGAGAACGGTCTTCGAAAAAGAGATGACATGCAGTTCAACCATGTTGGGATCAGATGATTTTGTGACAGGCCAGTCTGAAACCCAATCAGCCTTTCAGAGAATAACGTGATCATGAAGGTGTGATGAGTCCCATTTGGAGGCTCCGCTATGCTCCGCTCCTCTCACGCAATTGCTAGGGTCAGAGACAGATAAGGCAATGGCTTTGCGGACCTGTGTCTGCATGGGAATGATTCTGAGCCAGGGAGATCATCGTTTGAACCCAAGGAAGGTAGGGGAGGGAAGGGGAAGCACTAGGGCGAGCGAAATGCTGACTTCACTTGAGTAGTTTCAATAAAAGAGGAATCGGTCATTATGACATATCTCTGTGTAAGGTCGAAGAGAAGAATCTTAAAAAGAACGGTCTTCCTCAACTACATTTTCACAGAAAATCGAGTGGCATGGAGTTTCAAGGACCTGCTTTGTCTTCATTCTTATCATGCCTTAGTCATTTAGCATTTGCAAATCAAATGAACGAGAAGGATGAAGAGGTTGACTATACGATTATTAGAGCTACAGCAATGGTGAACCTCGTCAGCAAACTCAATACCGGTAAAAATACTTGCTGGATTGTTAACTTTCTTTATTTTCACTATTATTAAACTTTCAGAGTCGAAGAAGATACTTTCTGGGGGTCATATTGCGAAAGCGTTGGAGCATGTATCCACTGAAAATTCTTCTCACGTCCATCCATCAGCGTTACAACCACCGAATGTATCACCCCCTAATGTGAGGGTTAAAGGTCAGACAAAGGCCTAATTATTTTTCGAAAGGCATCCGGTCGAAATGTCGATCCTTCAAGGACTCGAACCACCTTTCTCAGGTATTTCAGGATTTAGACCGACGTTCGCTAGGCATAATGATGTCAAGTACTATCCGAACATAATTTGTGTGATCTGCAAGGAGTGGGTTTGTTCGCGAAGTCGGTGGGTTACTTTCTGATAGTTGTTCCCAGACAAGCCCCCTTTCTTTGTGAGGGAAACGGATATTTGGAATCAAACGAATCTATCGACCTACGTTTCAGACGAATACACGTTGGAGCTCACTTTGACTATCGCAAACACAAGTGCTCGTACTGTAATTTTACTCATAGCAAAGAGATATTTGTTGCATCTCACATGAGAAGGATTCACGGTAAAGAGGGAAAAGTGGAGGAGAACAGCGACCCCGAGATTGAGGAGAAGTGCGTCCCTTTGTGGAAATTTTTGAAAGAAGTATCGAGACGTCTCATCTTTCAGAATAGAAAACGTGTGCAACCTGAGTATTGCGATGACCAGGGATGTACTTCGTGGCCAGTACGACGAAAAAATTTATGAAAGCTATTCAAATTCGCATACGGTAATTGCTTTTACATAACTATGCAAGCTTTATATTGCTGTTTTTCACCATTCACTTACAATTTCGTCAAAATGAACGCACCATTAATTTGAGCCCCAGAGCTCATCTGTCAGTGAAACTAGGGTAATCCCACGATTCCCACATCATCTTTTTATCATCCATGTTATAGTCCTACCATTGAAATCACCTGAATTCTTCCAAATTTAAGAATTTCAAGGTAAACCCCGGAAATGTTCTGGCTCGAGTGGGAGACCCGTAGGTCACTTACATACCCATAACAACACATACAAATATACTTACGCCCATATCTGCACCAACTATTTCTTTATGTATTAAGGCAGAATTCAGTGTTTGGATCCCAAAAAGCCCAAACCTTTTCAGCCTCGCTGCCAAATTCCTAATCGGGAGCGAAGAAGCCGGACGGAAGTGCTGAAGACAGTCACCGATGCGACAAACATGCCATTGTTATTTTGAAGGGACGTTTTAGTCCGAGTATTTCATCTTGATATTGTATAAATAATACATTGGAGCTTACAATAAAGAATATTTGAAGCATTTCTTAGTCATTTATTGGTTGGCTCCTGTATGATCCATCGCTACTAACCACGAAAACCCACCGAACTGTTCAAATACAATTCATAAAACTACATCCTGCTTAAATCTCTCTCATTTATAAAGCAGAAACTTGGTGAGTCGATTTGTCGGTTTGTGTGTTTGTCGGTATGTCGGTATGTCGGTGTGTCCGTCCGCAAGTTTATGATTACGATAAGAGAGTGATATGGAAAACCCAGCTCTATCCTACATNGGGGGGGGGGGCATTTCTAACTGATTAATAAATGTAAGGAATGAGGGCCCGGCGTAAACCGGGCAGCCCAACTGGTACATAAATAATACAGTTTTGCAATGCCCATAAACTAAGGTTCGGCTTGTTCGGGTGTGTAGCAACGTTCACAGGGGCTCTCTTGGGAAAAGCCTGCTCCAGGGAAAACAGTTTGCCCCACGGCTACAATTTTGAATTAAGCCGTTTCTTCCGCCTTACCGCTCGGGAAATTCATATTCCGCCCGGTTGTTGTCGTGAAGACGGTTACGTAGGGCTACTGAAGCCAAAGACAAATGTCCCGAGTGTCGGTAGTTCTGCCCTTAGTTACCCAAAGTACTTGTCAATTGTATGCTCCACCATCACCAGTCTGAATAGGAGGGAGCGAAAAAAAAACCATTCGAAACATCGCGTAAAAGGCGTTTGGGACTCTCCGCCTAATAGGATCAGCTGAACTTTTGGAGACTCGTATTACTTTGCGGGGGTTTCCTCAGAGGTTAACATGGGTACCGAATCGCTTGGCTGGCCTGTTCAAATTGTTGTTGGTTAGTGTTTTCCCAACATCCCAATCTGAACGAGGGGTGCAGGTATTAGACCAGGCAAATATCAAAGAAATCGTTATTCTGAGCCTGCGCTCTGTTCGCGTCTCTCATTGAAATTGATCAATAGTTGCAAAGCTTTTGCCGTCTAGTCATTCCGATTCTTCGTTTTGCTTCTAATAGCAATGGCATGCAATGTTGCTACCTTCAGTGTTTGCGTGGAATTGAATGTACGCACTGTTGTGATCCGATGAGCTCCTGTGGCCTCCAAGTTAACGAAGATGTAGCAATCATGATTCTTGAGCACCTTGCCCAGGAATGGTATCACGAGGGTCCGTACACGCATTGGATGAGAATAAGGGTATGTTCGAGCCTTGATCACTTAAACTTACTTCGAGCTTTGAGCTGTAAGGACGAATCGAACAGCGCTTATGATCCAATATGTGCATAACTGTGGAGCAGGGAGGAACAGCGTGCATGATGTAAAAGATTTCCTTCTTCCTGGAGTGCATTTTGCTTGCTTTAGGAATCCTGTAATCTTGTAGAGCGTAGCACCATTAATCTATTACACAACATGTTCTGTTGTAGTGTTTAATGGTCAGTTACTATCGTCTTATTTGCTTCAGGGTGTCTGCAGAGCCTTCAATCGGGCTGTTCTTCGTTACTTGTCCAAGACTGTCAGCGTTGGGGTGGAAGACCTCGCCGACTGTGTTGAGGTTGGTCCTAGTTGGTCCTGGTTCATATCAATGTGTTTTTCCTCTTTGCTGTGATATTATTGGGGGGTCTACATTGCGGGACGTAGCTAGCTCTAGGTGAGATGAATTAATCTGCTCGCATTGTATCCTTCTTTATGCCTATCAAATATGCCGTGAGCCTAGCAGGAACAGTGATAGCTTTTTCTTGATAAGCTTTATGTCACTCTAAGTATAACAGCAGTTGAATACTGTGGGATACGTCATTTCATCCTGATTAATCCTCGCAATGAAAATCTCCGATTTCGTAAAGAAGTCCGATACTGTTTGTTGGGCAGTATGGTATGGCAACAAATTGCACCGTTGAGCGAGATTTTTAGTTTTTTTNNTTTTTTTCCGGAAACATGTGATACCGACTTTCTGCTGACTTGCCTATCGATATTTAGCGGTTGACTCGTCGTAGATGCTATAGGCCTGAGTTGAAGCTTTGTCAAGTCATAATTGTGCTATTGACAGGTGCACACTGTTCTGCTGTCGTTTCACATTATATCAGCGATTCGGGATGGAGAAGGAAACCCCTTCAAATCTCTGCAAGCATAAATGAACCCTATTTCAGATTTATCAGTGTATTGAAGATGGTGGTAATAGGAATTGTACAAGAACGCTCTTCGAGAACAAGGACACTGCTGTTGCTTATTTGAGGCAAGCATGCTTTTTAATGCTTTTTAGTCTCGAGTTGCTATTGACTGACAGTTGTAATGCTACTTTTATGATCATTATAGATGTATAGCGAGTTATATCGAAAAACCTATTGATATCGACTTAGAACATTACGGGAATCATCCAGATAACGATGATGTTCTCAAAGCTTTGTGCAACTTTCAGGGTAAGTTCAAATTTCTTTGTATGCGTCCTTAAGAAATCACTAAAAACACTAGTAGGTTTGCTAGTGTTACAGGAACATTGAACTACTTACCAGCTTTTCCGGCTTTTCAGCAATCGACTCCATAATTTACTGTAAGCCTCGATGTGAATGTTCTGATTGTGAGGCTTTAAAAGAGCATGCTGGGCCACGCGTTAGAATTATTGAAAGTACGTTACCAATTTATTAGAGCCTGGTTTTTGCCAAAACATATTCATGTGTCTTGCAGATTCACCTGTTCAAAGTGGTTCAGATTATTTCGATGAGCACGCCGGCTACGCCCTAGGTAGATATTTAGACTCCTCCGACGAAGACTACGATCCCTATTATGATTTAAGTAAGTTCTTTCCATTTCGCTTATGGTTATATTCTACCGAAGTTTTTTAGATTTCCATGAAGATGAAGATGACTATTGAGGAGAATTCTCAGCAGAAAATACGGTTCTAGCAAAGTGATGTGATCGGGTGCTGAAACAGCAGAGATATTATTTTTCATTTCGTTCACTAGCAACGACATCCTGAAGGCGTCGGTGCGATCCGGTTCAAACATTGGGTTTGTTATTTGCTGGTTTTACTTGGCTTCAAACTGAAGCCACTCTTCGTGTTTTGCACTGCATGTATATTTAATGCTTTGTTTTTTCTTATCTATAATTTTTACGATTTTTTTTGAAAAAGTTTTTGCTGGTAACACGCGGTACCTTCTTTTAATAGTGATACCGATATCGTTGGGACGCGGAATTTATGTCCGCATTATTAATTTTCTCGTGGTTAGTCTAAGGCACTTCGTTTGGCGTTATTGTTGTACTGTTGAGCTATACAATGAAGTATCCCCATCTGTCTTCTGATTGATAGACTTTTTGAACTCACAAGGGACCCAAGTGGGCAAGTGGGGGATTGTTTCACATACAAAGTAGCTCTCTACGAAGCAGTGTTCCGTACATTTTTCTCGGCAATCGGTAGCAGGTAGGAGAGTACGATGGCGACGCACTCGCATCCTATGCAAATCTTACCCAGCTGTCGACCGCATATTCCATGATTAGATGCTAGTTGTATATGTATTCACATCAGCAAACCGTACAACGTAATAGTACAGGTCCCCCAAGAAAGAAGCACATATAGTTCAAAAGAGAAGAACAATATTTACAACGAGAGAGGACCGTAACCTGGTAGGAGTACTTTCATTTCTGTTTCAAAAGCAAAACTGTGTACATACAAATACAATAATGAGTTATGAGGTTGCACATTGGTTAGGACATTATCCTTTGCACGATTTCCTCGCAGGATTTAGCTAAGTGTCGTCCTCGAAGGAGAAGTCGTTGCATCCATGATCGGTCCGCCGGTTTGTACTCCGAAGGAACCTGAAGAAATAATTATCAACTGCGACAAAATGTTTCATAAGAAAGGTTAGATGTGTTCGGCCACAGATATGAAAAATGTAAGTGAAATGACGATCAGGACCTCGAGAACGACTACTAACTGAGACACGGTTGTGGAAGGGTTTTCACAGACATAAAAGAGCCAGGATTGGCTCCGACTCTGCAACTGAAAACATTCCCAAGTGTAATGAAAAAGAAAGCGTCTATACTTCGCTTATATCGCCACGGAGTGCCAATTCGTTCTGAGAAATCTGGGATTTTTAGTGTGTTCACTGGAAATTGGGAATATACTTACGTGAAGTTGCTTGATCAGCTCTGCCCACATTGTGTTGATGTTCATCGAGAGGAGGGCTGACACTTCGACAAAACTACATTTGTAGATTTTTGCGAGAGATTTACCTTCTGAAAAAATGGTAATTCTCATGGTGACCTGTATGAACCACTGTCTTTAAAGGTCAGCGAATCACCATGGAAGCATGGGAGAGTACGGTACAAGTACGGGACACGACATAGCTATCTAAACAACGGCTGTGGTCGAGGAAGTTCATTTCCTACACGTCTGGAGCACTTCCCACCTGCCCACATTCCGAATCTCTGGAGTCTTCAGAGAGGTAGGAAGACGACGAATTTGAAAAATAGAGCGTCCGCACGTCAGCTTCCACTATTCTGGGATGGGTGTAGTGTACTAGTGTGCTTATGGCATCAGTGTCTGGCTAACACGAGCCGCTGCCAACCAAAATACGTATTCAAATGTCACGGACCTAATGGAAGTCGAATCAATGATGCGTTTCAAAACAGGAATGGTTAACGACGGGTGCTTGGATGTTTTTTATGTGAGGATAAGGACTACCAAGTACTCGACGATATGTGCTCAGAGAAGTCTTAATTTTCCGCGCTCATTTCCAAACCATTTGTGTCCGTACCATGCATATTTTCGGGTTTCATTATTATCGGTAATCAGAATAAATATAGATGCCTAAAAGACATGAAAGTACCCGATGTCATAACCATCCGTTAGGCGCCATATAGCGAGCGTGAATGTGGGTCTGAGGCATTCTACCACCGCTACAGCTCTCTCATTTTAAGTGAATACCAATTATATGAGAAACATACTCATTCTACTTCGGTGACAAGATGACAAAAAACTAAGTTCACTCACCCAAAGTAGAAACAACAATATTCCGTTTCAGATCGACTTTGTTTCCCACAAGTGCTACTGGAACAAAAGGCGATGTTCTTGTTTCATAAATCCTGAAAATAAATGGAATTCTGATCCCGCTTCACCAATTCATTCAGAATTTACAGCCCATGGAAGCTGTGCCCTCATGAGCAGACATGAATTGAGGGCGAAACAAGCCTAATTCAATGCTCAGTCGTAATAGGTGCCAATAGATGAGCCATCTTCACGAAGCCTAGCCTAACACATAATTTAGCAAGAGTCCTTACTGCCCAATCTAAGATTCCGGCCAGAATACGGCTAGGTATCACTTCCTTCAGCGAGTTACTTTCTATGGCACAGTAGCCCATGTATTAGGCCGAACCTTTGTGAAGGCCAAAAACTTTGTAAAGGCCACCTTCGGATTCGACCCGAGCATAATTTTCGAGAGTAATGTTGGGGTTCCGAATGCCTTTCTATCAGTATTACCACGCTTACCTGTACAGAAGACGGGTAGCTTTCTTAAATGATTCACGGCTGTCCACTGAATAGACAACAACGAACATAGTGATATGGTCGGTGAATGGCATGGACTGCAATATAATTTAATTAGAAAAACAGTTGAAGTCATGGCTTATGTTTGTTACTCCTGACCTATTGTGGATATGAAAGTGAGTGAGAAAGTCTGGTAAACAGGAAGCCGATTTAATATGGAATATTGGAGTAGTGTATAGTAATTAAATAAATCAGGTAATTAAGTCGGGCATAGCTTAACAACAACTTATTCTGAAAGTACACTGCCCTCTTTTGAAGAGGGGGATGCAGACAGCTTAAGCCTTATGACTGACCACTTGGAAAACCTCCCTGGTGGCATCATATGTTGGAAGGGGAATACGTATGATTATCGTGATGACCGGTGGTTTCTGAATCATGAAAACGTTGTTCATGAATAACTTTTACTTGCCTCGAGCGCTGACTCCATTACGATTTCCAGCTTCACTTCTTCACCGTTCAAAAGAAAGGTAATGCTCTTTGATCCGGCCTCTTCCGTTGCATTTGCTGGAATTCACCTTTCATACTGATTAATACCGAGTCTTTCACTCGATTTAATTAACCTGAATGCATGCCCAATGTAAAAGAACGGTCCCAAAGCTGCCGGCCTAGCTACAACTGTGCGAGTCTTATCCATAAAAGTAGTAACCAGACGGATATCGTGAAAAGTTCACTTACATATGACATGGGTCTGATCGGGAGTAGTCGTTGAAGCGATATGGTAAATTTGATGAGCAAGCGTCTTTTTCCCGGAATTTCGGCTACCGTATAACCGCAGTAACACCTGACGTGGTGGGGCAGTAGAAGCGGGATAGAGGTAGATTTCTGGGCATGTAGCGCGACGATTTTCTCCTGAAGTCAAGCATTGCATATGGCGATTTGTATGGATAGCAGGCAAGTGTTATATCTCCATTTGCGTTTCCTCACCTCGTTTTCTTCCTAGAACTTTTTCAAGACCTTTGAATTCGTAGCCTTTGTCCACAAGCGATCCATTGCTGTATTCAAAACTTCGTAATTGACCTTCGATACGGTCGATACTTTGTGAGCTGTCCTACAGAATCACATAATTACTGAAAGAAGCCGAAATATATAGCCAAACTGGCTTTTTGGAAATGGGAGGTGTAGGAGGGGGGGGGGGCGGTGTTCCATTCTTCCTTAGATTTTTTTTACATGCCTTGATCCTAGAGACTATGGTATACCTACAGGAATTGATATTAATTGATAAGGGATGCTAGTATACGTCTTAATAGTTCTGTCTCTATTTTAAAATAACAGTGGAACTTCACTATTTCAGTATAGTACGTGATGTAGAGTCGGATTGCGTCGCAGAAAAGGGGTGACAGAAAATGATAGGAACCGATAAGTACCTGTAATGGATCTCGGGGGCGANCTCGAAATTGAGATGCACCTTTGTTAGACTAATACGTTACAATACTTTGGAATCCAAAGTTCCGGGCAAATCACCTAAAACAGTGGACTATGGCGGCTCGCGTCAGGGATTATGAGAACCTCGCTTGCACCCACTCGAGCAAGTTGACGAACAACGGGCCTGTATAAGTGGGGAAAATTGACAAAAAGTGACTACATTAGGTTCAGCCGCTTCATTACATCACTCCACTCTAGGGCTGCATAGAAGGGCCCTAGACAGCAGCTACAGCTGTGAGTGTCTAACGTATAAAAGAAAGTGATCATATGGTGATATTAGGTGATACAAAAGTTAATCTGAATTATTGACTGGTACATGTCTATGTCACAATAAGTCCAGCGCTTGATTATAACTACGCAGTGTTTTCTTCATCAGAAAATGTAAAATGTGTACAAAATAGAAGTAAAGGCACAGACAAAAAACAACAAACCTTGGCACAAACATTGTTGTTCGCTTCCATGAAACTACCGCTGCCCGATGAATAACTACCGAGTCTGAAAAACGAAATACTGGACACGAGTACGACATGGAATGAGGTGGAAAGGCAATATACTGTGTCCATGGTGAATCAGACATTTTTGAAGAGCTACACAGTGTGATCTATTTTGAACCATCTCTTGAAACCCATGATTGGCACAATCCAAAAGAGAAGGATCGAAGTCTCCATCATGGCTCACACCTTCCTCTACATTTCAGGCATTTACTCAGAAACAGAGGGTTTCAAATGTGTATTTTCCCAATTCACATCTCAAGGATAGGTCATACAAGATGAAGGGGAAGCCCGTAAAGAACTTAGCATTTGCGAGATTCATTCATCATTTAACTAAGAGAGAAGTCACAGAACCACAGATGATTGCTAGCTTGTGGGAATCGTTGCAACTGGTACTGTGCTTTCGGGTGCTGGACCGAGCCAACCTACAGGTAGTCGAAGACGAGGATCTGTTCAACCGCCGACTCAACAGAGCGGTTCTGCAACGGCAATCTCAAGGGCCATAGTAGTATGAAACGTTGTGATGTTTTTTCGAAAGACAAATAGACAAAAAGCAAATTGGGAATGTGCAGTCAAGGGAATCGACGTCACTCCTTTGTCTCGGGAAACGACCAGAATGTCAAGAATCAAATGAGTGGATCCGTTGGCTGTCATGCGGTGGCCTCCGCTGCTTTAATCCCCTGGGATGAATTTAGTTAATTTCGATCTTGGACCGGATAAAACAACAGTGATGTCATACGAAATGAGATTTGAGAACAGCAGTTTCCGCGTAGGTGGGTAATTTTTCATCCGATAAGAAAAAAGCGAAGCATTGCTATCCATATTCAGCTTTTATGCAGCACATTTAGTTTATGGAAAAAGAAATAAGTTCTATAACTATAAATTCTCATGGAAACATCAGATGGCTTCGAAAAGTGTCTCTCCGGAAATCCCCGAGTGAGGAGGGTAGGGAGATTATTGAAGAAGGATTTTGATCTCATAGAAGTTAGCTCACAGTTTAGATCCCTACGGTTCAAATTGATCCCAAAGAATCTGAACTGTGAAGTGAATCCATTAGTTAGACATTTCTGTACTTGCTTGGCTCTTGTTTAGTCAATTCTTTTCATAATATTGGGCATTACGGCATGCCGCTGAGGTATAAGGATAAAGGATAAAGTTTTTTGGCGTTAATCAATCCCGTCTGAGGGGTGCGCCCATGCATTCGACTTCCATTCAAAATCGTCGTGCCGTATTGAATGCGTATGTGCCTATACAACGACTTTCAGTTGTCAGCTGTTATACAAGTTCGTATTTTTATCCTCCCAGGCGAGTCTAGTCCCAGTTAAACGACTCCAAATAATTGGAAGGCTTGGTTGACCTTAGCGAATGTCGATCCGGGACTCTAACCCGTGGTGCGCCGTTTGCCGTTACACCAGTTCCGCCCGAAGTATATAAATATAATAAATAAATAAACTGCGTAGAAAACCTTGGCCAAGGTAACGGAACTACCACTCAAAAAAAAATAACAAATATTTANTCTGTTGCCGAAAGCAAAAGAATGATATGTATGCTCTAAGGGTGAGGGCGATATCGAGGCCGGGGTGAATCCTTTAAAGAGCCGTCTGCTATGATTTCTGGTAAAATGGGTATCAGACAGTAGTCAATCAGCACGGCGACCGTAAACGGCGAACCTGACGTTACTGTTCGGTTCGTACGTTGAAGCCTTCAAGACTATCGGTTGGAATGCTTCAAAAGAGCTTCAAAAGGAAACAACAATCCTGCGAATCGCGGAAATTCTTTCACATGCTAGCCTTTCCTTTCTCTGATTAACTTTCCTTTATGTCCTCAAATTAACTCAGTCAAAATAACGGTTCAAAGTGCTTTTGTTTGAAAGACTATGAAAGAACAGCAAGACTTTAGAGGTTCAAAAAAAGTGAACAAGCGAGTAGACATTTGTGCAAGCCATAGGAGTAGGGAAATGGAAGAAGCAAGTTGCGACGCTGCGGAGGAGTGGAAGATCGAGCTGCCGATAAGGTCTCATCAACCATTTCGAGCCTAGATGGATGGCTTATGTGAAACAAACATGAGTGGTAGAAAAAACGCTGACTTGCATCTGGGCCGGGACTGCATATGCCCTCTACCGGATTTCCTACGAGATAAGCCGTACAGAGAAACTTCGAAAGGTCTGCTGAAATTTTGTCCTCCTAATCGTAAAAAAGTGACGGGATGCATGGCGCACGCTAATGGAACAGGTGATTGTGGCCAGCCCCTGGACCCAGGTGTGGCGCAAGAAAAAGAAGTTGCTGGGTTTTGTTTGGATATGCATGAATGCGACACTGAAGACTTCAGGTAGTCGTGAGACAAAAGAAATTGAAACCAGGGTGGGCGAATTGAGCGTGGGAGGTGAGCGCTCAACAGCCTGGGCACATCATACGACATCTTGAGTGAACGTAATCGTAGCACATCGGAATAGACTCCTCACTTTACAATTTCCCACTATATAATTCATAACCAGGGGATAATTCTGACATCGTAGGCTAGAGGTTGCGTGATAGCCTGCAGTTGCCGAAATTGGTAAATGCACCTGCTCAGTAAGATAATTGACTCTGTGAGAGCATGTGTACGTACTTTGAATTTACAGGGTTCGGCCAAGGAACTAGTGAAAAGGTGAACTCTTTGAAGCGAGATGGCTTATAAAAACCTTTAACTATCGTTATATGAAAAATGTTTTTCTATATATCAATGCGAGTTGTTTGTAAACAAAGAATTAGGAAATCGTTGTGGGCTTGTGAATATTGGGCAATTTTTTTGAAAAGGACAAGTCAAAAAGGAAAAGTGTTTAAGCGAGCAAGCATATGACTGTTAAGGTAGTTATGGGAACATTTCAGGCTGGAAGAAATTTCACAACATAAAAATTTCGGGCTTCAAAGGAGTCGAAGTAGGATGAAGCCTGACCACTCTTTCGGAAGAGTTGAAGAACCTCAATTGGAGAGGAAATGAAGAACAGTATTAGCCTGCGTAACTACGTAATAAAAAACTATGAACGTTTGATGAAAGGCTGAG